CCTCAACTGCAGCGCCGTGGTGATGGGCCAGCAAGACATGTGAGCCAAGTAAACCAACAGTACAACATCACAAAAAAGGGCGGGATAGCAGGCAGCCGAAGCAGTTCGAACAGCTACAAGACTCGTAGTGATATTCATGACAGCAGTGACTGCAACAGTATGCTTTAACGCATCAACAGCAGTTTTGCGAGCGAGGTGCTGAACGACGGCTGGATAATGGACACGACGTGCTACGAGTGGAAGCACGTGCAGTTCAAAGCGCAGTCGCAGGAGCTAAAGGCCAGCTAAGCAGAATCCATAGACACAAGCCGGACTTGTGGCAGGTGTAGTACTAATTACCGCTTATCAGAACATGAACAGTGAGCATCATGGTAGATGCGGTCGCAGATGTTTGGAATGATGATGGCCTCTGCCAGGGCTCCTACTGGAAACGGATGTGTGGGAAGATCCTGGAGCACCCATACGTCGCGGCACAAGCAGAGCTCCTGGTGACGCCTGCGTGTTTGGGGGACGTTGGTGCGCTTCCGCAGGGTGCTAGCTTGCAGAGAGCTTAGCCAGGCGGGGCCACGGCGAAACTCGACAGGGGGCAGGTGCGAGATACTCACATTGAATCGTGAATCGTGCAGTCCACGAGAGCCCCTCCAGGAACCACCTAAGGCCCTAAGACATTCGACCCCAATCCCAAGAGTGTGCTGGACGAGGAGACTCAGTGCCGTGGCCCAGACAGCCCGATCGGCTGTCAGCGGCCTGAATTTCGAGACCCTCGCAGTAGCCGCCTCGAAGGCGTGAGGGAATGGTAGCCCAGCACATGATGATAAACGCGGCTGGCGGCAAAGCCTCGGCAGAAACCACGAACGTGCACAGTAAGGTAGTATCCTGATGTGATGCGGTAGGAGAAGAACGGAGGGGTCACGACCGAAAAGCACACGAATGGCAGCTTGTCCTGTCTTCTTGGGTCTTTGGAACAAGAACACGAATATTCATGGTCTGTGGTAAGAAGTCGTGACTGTAACCATCCTTTATGAAGAGGGCAGGTGCAAATTGTGATTGATTCCTGCACCGTAGATGTCTACGGGTTGCATGAAGAGCTGGGCCGAAGTCTGTTTGGCCTGTAGACTGTTCAGGCATATCGTCATGTTATGGCGCATTGTCGTACAGAGCGTGGTGCAGCAGTGGAGTCACATGGCACGATAGAGGATGCAACGATCAATGCCACAGTCGAACAGTTTTCTCTTTTATCGCATGCCTGCATTCATGAAAACGCAGCTCGACATGATACACAATACGGTACCAGAGCACAGCGTGTGCTGTTTGGAGCAAGGTTGCGGACCACCGAACAGTAAGTGGGTTCAACTTCAACATACCAAATAACATGTATGCTGTTCGGTAGAAAACATCAAAGCCGGCGGATATTCGATATGGTGTTGCAGCGCCATGTGTTGAGATGTCGACAGCTGCCAACGTACCCATGCACTGGAGCATCGTGGTCATCATAGAGTATTGCTGCATTCTGATGATGTGATACTACAGTGGTTGACGTTGCTTGCTGGACAAAGCAGCATAAGGATGGAAGTGCATAAGCATCTTCTAGTAGCATCAGTTACCGAAGGAACCTCACAATCTCATGGGGCTACAGTCCGGTCATCTGGCAGCCTAGAACGACAGACGGTTGCGGCAATATGACACTGCAACAGCAAAGTCGCACATGCCAGCATGACACTACTGCTCCTGTTCCTCGCAGGCTGTGGTTGGCTCCGCGATGAGCCTTGGAGGATCGTTGCAGCTTTTTTCCGCAGCAATTGGTTGAACACTTCCAGCACCAGGATCCTCCGGTGTTCCAGATGCTCCGACAGATTCCATCGGCACTTCAGGTCTTGCTGCATGCTTGCTTGCTCCACAAGGAATTCGAGTAGGGTTTTGGGGGTTCCTTTAAGGGTTCCTTCAAGGGTTCTATATTGGCTACTATAAGGGTTTAGGGTATATAGGGGCCTTAACATAGGGGGTGTTTCATGCTCAGAGCTCTCGTCTTGCTGGCGCCAGGCGCACGGAAGTCCTGGAAGAAGTTCTTGTCCAAGCAGATGACCAGCATGTCTGCCCCGCCGGAAGTTCGCAGTAGTTCACGATGCAGAAGAGTTGCGGAAAATTCAAACGCTAAACCCTAAACCCCAAATCCTACACCCTATACGAAACCCTAAGCCCCAAACCCTACACCCTATGCGAAACCCTAAGCCCCAAACCCTACACCCTATACGGTTTCGTCTCCCATGCCATGGCGCGACAGGTCCCATAAAGGAGACTCTGGCCCGAGGAGGCTGCGACACACCCCGAAGGACGGGCCTCGGCTCTTTTCCGACGGTGTCAGTAAGATGTGAAGTTACGACATGTGAGGGTTTTAGGGTTTAGGGTTTCAGGGTTCAAGGTTTTTGGGTTTTGGGGTTTCAGGGTTTAGGGTTTTAGGGTTTTAGGGTTTTAGGGTTGCTGGAGGACCGAACAGGCATGGCGGAGGAGGAGCAGTTCCACGAAGACCTTCTGGCGATGGCTCCTTGACAGCCTCATTCTGCTCTGCGGCGGGGGAGAAGCCCTGAAATCCGCAGTGCTCAGGTGAGCTCTTGTGCTCAGGGCGAGGTGCGACCGGCGCAGTTCCAAGAGGGCCTTGAGAGGATCTCTGTTCTTTCTCAGGATGAAGATGCGAAGAAAGGACCTGCGTCAGGCTCCAAGCTCTGCCTTCTGTGTCTCCGGAGTCTTCTGCCGCCACCGCAACAACAACAACTGCAGCTACATCTACAGCGACAAAAAGGCAAGGACAGGTGCTCGCAGTGACAGTCTTGGATCTGCAGAGCTATGAAAAGTACGGCAGTCAACTTCATCGACCGTACTGGCACAGCTCGGCTTCCAGTCGCATAATCTCTTTTCCCGGCATGCTTGATGATTCCAGGGCCTAGGAGTCAGGGACGACAGGAAGCATTGAAGCCTGTCTGAGAGTTGGGTCGTTCACAGAGGCAACAGTCCATGTCTGAAGCTTGAGGCCACGTGCCAACCACACCACCTGCATCTACGAGAACACGGTGGGCTCAGTAGAAACTCAGTAGAAAAAGCTGTGCGGCAGTCACCAAGCTTTGATTCTGCTGCGCAGCTCGTCCTCTTCGGCGGTCATGGTGGGATCGGATACCAGCGCAAAGCATTCAACGATGCTCCTTGACTGCATTGCTGGCGCGGCTGTGTGTTGTCAGCGTGCGATCGGGAACTGAGTGAGAGCCAAACTTATTATACAAGGTGTGGACGCTGAACCTGGACTCCTTCCGTCTTGCCAGCATGTGAACCATGTGATGTGCTTCACGGGAAGCTGTAAACTGTTGCTGCTGGTTTCCTGGGTCGCCAGGCTGGGCAGAGCTGACATGCCATGGGAATCCGCCGGCACCGCGATCCGGACATGCTTCGTTCCAGAAGGCAGGGCATGCGAGTGCTAAGATATTGGGAGAGGAATTTGCAAAGGATCGCGCTCGCAACAACATGAAAATGTGGCTTCCCCCTATGTGCGGTGGATTTAGGATCCGGCTCAGTTTCTCTCAACCACCAGTCGCAAGCCGACAATCGTCGCGGCACCGCACGCGCAGCCCCATTTCGCACACGGACGCCATCCGGACATCGTAGGGTTGTCAATTTGGGGCATCCAGCAAACAACATGCCGTGTGGCGTCTTGTTTCGGCCTGTGCAAGAACTTCAAGAACTCGATAGCGCCCGAAATCATCTCCCAGCAAGTCAACACTTTGCCTGGAGAGCGGCGAATGCTCCAGTATGAGCGTCTCTTCGAGCTAGATGATGCTGACCACGTCAAGGCTTCACACCTCAGTAGGTGGAACCACAAGACCATTTGGAGAGCGTTCGATGAGCATGGGGGCTCCTGGACTGGCTGCACTTGGATCACAGGGGCCTTGGAAGGGGGCGTTCGGGGGCCGCGCTGCTCTGCAGCCAATCTGTCCAGTTGCAGCGAGTTCAACCCCCCGAACTGAACATCCCGAATGCTTCACCTTCACCGCGACATACCGCGACTCAGAGCCGCCATCGCTGCAGGATGGCTTCGTCTTTGTCTTCGGTGGATGGAATGGTGAGTCGCAGTTCAACGACCTTTTCATGCTGGATGTGGAGAACAAGGTGGCATCCCTCATGGTATTTATTTCTCGCACAAGCAGATGTGACGGTGCAAATGTGCATGCATTGGTTCACGTACAGGTAGACGGTCATCGTGGCACTTTCATGCTGCCAGCAAGAGTCTTGTCGAGTTCAGTTTTCTCATACACTTCAGTTTCCGCCTGTTTGGCCTGTCTGGCCTGTCTGGCTGCCTGCCTGCCTGCTTGCCTGTCTGTCTGTCTGTCTGTCTGCTTATGTATCTAGCTCTCTCTCTCTCTCTATACCCATCCTTGTGTGTGTCTACCTAGATGCACAGGTTCATCTGCACAAAGACTCAGTCCAGACACGCATTAGGCTACACTAATGCCCGTCTCCAGTTTTCTGCACAGGCATTCGCCCGTGTCGGCATACTTGTTCTGCACACACACACACATGCATGCTTGCATGCATGCATACACACATACATACATATGCAAGCACGCATGCGTGCATGCATCCGTGCAACTGTAGTATTCTTGATGCGTCCAAGTCTACATATTCCTCTATCCATCCATCCGTCCATCTATCTACCTATCTCTCTCTCCCTCTCTCTCTCTCCCTGTCTGTCTACCTAGTCTATCTATCTCTACATATGTGCATACATGCACGGACGCAACAAGCCATTGGACACTTCGGCAAGTAGATGAGCTTATAGAAGCTGTGCAAAATTGGCTGGTCGAATGACCACCGCGCTCTCTCTCTCCCTCTCACACACGAGAATGTGCACGCACATACGCACACACTCAGCACACACACACACACACAGAGCACATGTCCCGTCTTTGGAGGACTGGTCCGACCTAGACCTGAGCTGGAGTGTGCCGCGGTGGAACATGGCATCTCAGCTCGTGGAGGCGCGGCTGGGCAGTGGAAAAGTTCTGCAGAGATCGTCAAGAGCAATTTGGGGATTTCCGAAAATAGGGGACCCTAATATAGTACCCTAAATAGTAGGATCCTTTCTATAAGGACCCCCAAAATAAGGTACCCCTAATTTTCGGAAACTCCCATTTCATCAGCGCTCTTGCCGCCGCCTCTGCGAGGCCATTCCCTCTTGGCGGGTCTTTGTGTTCGGTGGCTCAGCCGACCGCATGGGCCGCGCACCAAGGGCCGTTTGAGACTGGTGTCATGAAGCTTGCTGCTCTTATTCAGAGGTGAGGGTCGCACCATGGGGTCCTTCGACCGGAAACTAGGTGGGTACCTGGCCTTGTCTTCCTGCAGTCTTCTGACTGGTACTGAATCGGGCCAGCACGCAGGTGTGCTTGACCTCGGTGACGAACGGAAGTGGCTGACTCCAGTCCCAGAGGTCAGCTGCTCGCTTCCCGCAAACCGGCAGATAGCCGAGTGCTTACGCGAGCCTCCAGGAAAAATCCAAAGCGGAACGGCCTCATGGGCTTCTCGATCGCAAGGGAGCTGAAAGAGCGTGCTGAGCCTGCTACGTTACAGTAGTCTTTGAACCGCAATATCAACATAATTATAGCAGCAACGAGGCAAAATGAGCGCAAGAGGATGTAGCGCCAGGAGTAGCAGTATCGAGCATAAAAGCTTTCAAGATGCGATAGGATCCTTCCGTTGGCCTGGTGCTTCTCCACCCTTCATCCAGGCGAGAACACACCGCCTTGTGCTACGATGCAGAGGACCGAGCCACCATACACTACGTTCTTTACATTATGTTTATCCGGAGTCTTGCAATGAAGGATCAGACTACCGACTTGAGAATTCCTTTGAAGCCCTTCAAGTTTGGCATGCAACAGGAGAGCAGGCTGATCATGTATGGTGGCTGGGCGAACAAGTGGCTGGACGACTGCTGGCAGATCAATGTTGCTTCCATTGTTGGGCCACCGCACCATGGCAGCATGTTTTTCTCGGCAGGGACAGTTTTGCGCCGCAGAGTCTTTAGTACTGCGTTTGATCCTTTCTTTTCAAATGAGGGGTCCTGTCTTTCAGAGCCACTGTGAGAAGCTTTCTGAAGTTCTAGTTTTCAAGGTAGATGGGATTATATCTTTTATGTGAAATCCGCTGAGGTATGCCATCGTGCAAGTGGATCCCCCCTTGGGACCTGTGTCCGGCAGTCAGAAAGCGGCATCCACAGTTCTCAACATCCAATCCCATGGTTCTTGTGCCTCAACTGCACTGCTCTATAGTAACGTCTGCATCTCAGGTGAAGATCTCCGGCATTGGCTTCCTTTCTGTTCCGGGAGCAGCTGTGGTACGGTTCAGTGCTGTCACTGACCCAGACACATCAGACACTGGGCCGCATCGAAGCCGAAGATCTCCCAGCCAGCGTGATCGAGGCTGGAGGCCGTTTCAGTGTGGAAGCTCAAGGCCAACTTGTCGGATGCCTGCAGCTTCGGCCGATTTCGGCCGTGCCTGGAGCCTGTGCAGGAACAGTGGTGGATGATGAACTGGTCGAATGCCTTACGCCCAGGGTGGCACAGCTTGCTCGCTTTCTCGGGCTACGGTGGTGTGCCAGCAGCACCGGCAGGAAATGTAGACTTGAGACCCTCGCGAGCAGCCAGGAGGGAAGCATTGGCCCACGGGAGTGTGAAGTGCGGGTCTCCATCGGCGTGAAAGACTTCACTACTACAGCAAGGGACACAGCACAGAAGAAGCATTTCGAGCCTGAGACTGATGTCGACGCTCGTATGTCAGTCCAGCGGTGCTGAGGTGGCGGACTACCATTACTTCCTGAATACGATTCCTGACATGCAGCGCCCCTGGCTCCATCGCCAAGCCGTGCGGCAGAAGAGGTGATGATACATTCCTCTTCCAAGCACTGCAGCCTGCTTCATGCATGGTGCTTGTGACAAGGTCTTTGTGTTATGGTCCAGGGCTGCTGATGGACCAGCAAGCAGAAGCGACTACGAGGCACGGGCCATGTGATGCAAAGGTCATCGCCGGCTGTCGCACAACATGGCTTTGCACCTCAGGTTCATGATCCAGGCCAGGAACCAGCTGGGCGAGAATAGCTCCTTGTCTCAAACTGTCGGTGAGGTGACAAGCTCTAAGCAGAGACTTGTGACTTGCATGCTCGGGGTTTGCATTTGGCCGTGCTTGCGTTTTTCACACGAAGCGAGGAAAGTCCGGAAGGGATGAGTGGGCTGATCTGGCTGTTTAGTTTGCAGCATCTACACATGTCCCTGCATTTCTCTCTAAACTGCTTCTGCATGTCTCCGCCAGGTGATCCAGGTCAACCATGTCTACATCAACGACAAAGGGAAGGCCTTGTGCTCGAGGAGTGTCAAGGGCAATGGTCCTCCAGCGAGCACATGCCAGGAGTCGCTGCGGGAGCTTCCACATGAGGTAGTCGACTTCGACAATGGGCAGCCGCTTGCTTAGATACCTCAGCAGATTGCATGGCGTGACGAATTGCCACTGGATTGAAGCCCATGGACCGAGGTACGAAGTCAGGTATGTGGCTGAGGCTCCATCCGGCTACATAAGAAACATCCATCAACCTTTCGTCTCTGCTTTTGTGCAGGCATACATGATGCAGTGTGCGAATGTGTGCGAATCATGCCTACATCCGCGAGTGTGCCTATGCGTCTGCATAATATAGATCGCATACAGTATCTTAAGACATTGCTTTAGTCACATGCGCCATGTAATGGCCTCATTCTGTCATCCAGATTTCATGCGCTTTGTAAAGATGGCTGTTGACACGGGACATGCATCACACTGTCCACATACCCCCCCGCGCTTAATAAATGTAGGAGTGGTGGGGGGCGCATAATTGTAGGACATGTTTTCCTACAATTGCCACT